GGTGCAGCTGGGTGTGGCATTGTTACGCACGTGACAGCGCGGTTTTAGATTGGCTAGTCCTTCGATCACAAGTTTGGTGAGAAGGGCTGGGGTCTGACGCCGTGTCCGTCACATATTGTTGGCAGCGTACGTGGGATAGTTGCATTAAGAGCTTCAGTGCAGTGTTAAAAATTAGCTCTGCACTGAAGGATTGTAACCTTTGTGGAAACAGTCCTTAGAAACAAGCGGTGCATATTTTATATACAGTTGCAAGAAAAAGTATGTGAACCCCTTGGGATTACATGGAGTTTTGCATGAATTGGGCATAAAATGTGCTCTGAATGTCATCTAAGTCACAACAATAGAAGAACACAGTCTGAAAATAATACTACACAAACATTAGATGTTGCCATGGTTTAATTGCACATAACATGTAAAAATTCACAGTGCAGGGAGGAAAAAGTATGTGAACCTTTTGGACTTAATAACTTATTGACCCTCCTTTGGCAGCAATAACTTCAACCAAACGTTTCCTGCAGTTGCAGATCAGACCTGCACAACAATCTGGAGTAATTTTGGACTCTCCTCTTCACAAAACTGTTTCAGTGTAGCAATATTCTTGGGATGTCTGGTGTGAATCGCTCTCTTAGGGTTATGCCACAGCATTTCAATCGGGTTGAGGTCAGGACTCTGACTGGGCCACTCCAGAAGGCGTATTCTGTGCTGTTGCAGCCATTGTTTGTTGAAGTACTTGTATGCTTTGGGTCAATGTCCTGTTGCATCACCCATCCTTTGCGGAGCTTCAGTTTGCGGACAGATGGTCGTACGTTTTCCTGCAAAATGTCTTAATAAACTCTGGAATTCATTTTCCCATCAATGACAACAATCCGTCCAGGCCCTGAGGCAGCAAAGCAGCCCCAAACCATGATGCTCCCTCCGCCATGTTTTACAGTGGGGATGAGGTTTTGATGTCGGTGTGCTGTGCCTTTTTTTCTCCACACATAGTGTTGTGTGTTCTTCCCAAACAACTCAATCTTGGTTTCATCTGTCCACAGTATATTTTGCCAGTAGTACTGTGGAACATCCAGGTGCTCTTTTGCAAACTTCAAACGTGCTGCAATATTCTTTTTGGACAGCAATGGCTTCCTCCATAGTGTCCTCCCATGTACTCCATTCTTGTTTATGTTTTCCTTATTGTAGATGTGTCAACAAAAATATTAGCATGTGCCAGAGATTTCTGTAGGTCTTTAGCTGACACTCTGGGATTCTTCTTTACCTCATGCAGCATTCTGCGCTGTGCTCTTGCAGTCATTTTAACAGGACGACCACGCCTAGGGAGAGTAGCAACAGTGCTAAACTTTCTCCATTTGTAGACAGTCTGTCTTACCATGGACGCATGAACATCAAGGCTTTTGGAGATACTTTTGTAACCCTTTCCAGCTTCATGCAAGTCAACAATTCTTGATCGTAGGTCTTCTGAGAGCTCTTTTCTGCGAGGCATGGTTCACATCAGACAGTGCTTCTTGAAACCAGTAAACCCAAAACAGGTGTGTGTTTTTTAAGGGCAGGACAGCTGTCAGCAACACATCCAATATCATTACACTGATTGGAGTCAAGGTTGGCTCACTCCTGGCTCCAATTAGCTCTGGGAGAAGTCATTAAGCTAGGGCCTCACATACTTTTTCCTCCCTGCACTGTGAATGTTTACATGTTATGTGCAATTAAAACCTGGCAACATCTAATGTTTGTGTAGTATTATGTTCAGCAGACTGTGTTCTTCTATTGTTGTGACTTAGATGACGTTCAGAGCACATTTTATGCCCAATTCATGCAAAACTCCACGTAATCCCAAGGGGTTCACATACTTTTTCTTGCAACTGTATATATAGACATATAGGCCCTGATTTACTAAGAATTGAGTCTACCAGCAGATGCTGAACATTCAGCAGACTCAATTCAAACAATCTAGACCTGTCAGTCTTCTGAAAGGCGTCTAGCAAACTCATTGAAAAGCATCTACTTGTAGACTCTTTCCTGTTAGTAAATGTGGAATCGTGTCTGGCACATTTTTAGTTGCAAATATGTTTGTTAGGTGGTGCACAACCACAGGCTTTGTTGGCGTTTTTCTGTTTGCATATGAGAATACTTATAATTTAAAGTAAAAGTACATATATATATATATATTTTTTTTTTTTTTGGTTGCTGTTTCTCCAAAATGATCAGACAACTAATGAATGTCATACATTCTATTTTCAAATGTCAAACATTTTCACACTTCTATCTCAAATAATTGGGAATGTCTAGTTTTAATTTACCAATATAATGATATATCTTCCTTCTCTTTAATCATGTAACTATTCTATGTTAAAGTAATGGTGCAGCGCTATAAATGCATGTTATTAATCCTAAGCACATGTAAAATAAAAAACGTGCAAATAAGTACCACACGTGCCATTCATAGGCACTCTCTGAGTTGGTACTCTCACACGAAGGACATTCCATTATTCAGGAATGATTATATGAACTTTTTTAGCACCATTTACCAGTTTACATAATTATTGCACTTATTTGCACTTTTTTATTTTACATGCGTTTATGATTGATAACATGCATTTATAGCGCTACACTATTACTGTAACATATTTCTATTCTGGGACTGTTGCCAATACCCAGAGTGCTAGCTGCTACCTTCATATCTATACCTAGATTTATATTTATCTTGTGTAATACCATTTTAGTAGTCTATATAATTTTACAAGTGCACGCTTTATCATTATTTTTAAACAATGTAACTATTCTACATTGCAGCTCAAACTCTGTCTCCCTCAGTGGCTTAGTGGTTAGAACTCAGAACTTACAGCACGTGGGTCATGGGTTCTAATCCCAGTCATGGCTGCACCTGTCTGCATCTCAGTTTGCATGCTTTCTCTGCACAGGTGTGTTTCTGCCAATACTCCAAAGACATGCTGTTAGGTTAATTGGGCCTGGTATATGTCTGACTTTCTGGTCTTATGCAGGCCATAGATGGGTCAAAAACCAGCCGTTTTTTTTAAAACAAAAAATCGTTCGTTCAATAAAAAAATTGCCCGATTTTCGTACCGTCTATGGCCGGCATTTTTACTTCTGTCCCTTGCAGAGAGCTCCACTATTATATTTTACAGTCTTGTGGTTGCAACAATGTATCCATTTGTATCCATTTTGGATACAGATGGTTTTATTCGGATACAAATAGATACATTGTTGCAACCGCAAGACTTTTCATGTAAAATATAATAGCGGACTGGAATTCTTCTTTTTCTTCTTTTTCTTCTTCTTGCAGGACACGGCTCATGTGCATATTTGTATCGGTAAAACGATCGGCCGATTTGCCCATCATTGCCGGGAAAATCCGGCAATAGTCAAAATCGTCCTCATCCTGTTCTTCTGACAAGTTTGAAACTTTAAATTTTCCTTCTGTTTATATTTCATTACAACTTTATCTTCTCTAAGGCTACGTTCACACTAGCTGTCAGGAATGGACTGGCCAGCAATGGTGGGACTCACCTGCCTTTTGATATGCAGTACCAGGGCTGGCCAGCGGGTGCTCCCAGCAATCCGAGACTCAACCTTTCAGCCAGCTAACACCTGGAACTGATTATACTGGTGTATTTAAGGGATGGCCAGACCTGCAGACTCTGCCTTGGTGTTGTATTATTTGTCCTGGGCCCTGTATCTGTCCTGCATCCTGTTTCTGTTCCTTTGCTGACCCTGCCTGATCTGAACCGCTGCTGACTTCTCCTGCTCTGATCCCGGCTCGCTCCTGACCATCCCTCTGCCTGACCCTCTGTACCACGCTGCTTGCTACCTGTTCTGATCCCTGGCTTGTGACCCTGACCATCCCTCTGCCTGACCCTCTGTACTACGCTGCTTGCTATCTGCTGAACCTGGCCTGTGACCCCGACCAATCTCCGCTTGCTCCCCCTATACCTACCTGCCCTATTGATATTGACCCGGCCTGCCTGACGACGCTTGCTTGTATGTACTGTTATCTGTGGGTGGTTGGTTTGGTTTGTTTGCACTGTATTATGTTTTAGTATTGCACTGTGTTTATGTTTGTATTGTTAGTGTTAATAAATTATATTGTTTATCACATATCTGAAGTCTGCGTTTCCCTGAGTCAGTCACACACCTCTGGTCATACCCGGGAGCCCTGACATTTACACCAAGGCCAATCCTGACCAGAAGTGGCTGCACAGGGAAGCCATCTTGGCTTGTTGATGGGAAGGATGGATCTGGATGAGGTTGCGTATTTATATCTGCTAGTGTTTGATGACAGGGAGTATGCTTATCAAACTCTGAAATAGTATCCCAGGGATGAACTGCTAGAATGTATACGGCTCGCTCATGTTCTAGTAGATCAGGGCACAGAGTTCTCTGAGGTGCAGCCTTTGATTGAGGTTTGTGCTGAGTTGGTTTCATCTGGTACCCCCGAATGCAGGGATGAATTTTTGCCACCATTTAGTGCAGACCAGGTAGAGTCCCTGGTATGGTTATTAGAGGATGATGTGGGTTACTTTCTGGAGCGTTATTCCACATGTTCACCACAGACACTAAGAGATTGTATAAACGCAGTGCAGTCATTGACCAGACAGGCTTTGTGTAAGCTCAGCTTTGTTCAACCCATACTGCAGACATGGACAGACTTGTTGCACCCAGCCTCAGTCAGCTTACAAAAACCCAGTCCTGCTTCTAATCTATTTCCTCAAAACTCTATTCCTGCATTCCCAACAGCTCCTCCTGCCCTGCTATCTACCGCATGTCAGTACCCTGTTCCCACTCGCTGCTGCACCTATCCTGCCTTTAACCCTGTAAAAAAGCCCTCTGTAGCAACTGCTCCCTCTCCTGTTCCATCCTCCAGTTCTTCTCTGTCTCCAGCTGCTCCATTCGTTTGCAGACCTGCGTTTACTTGCAGTGCTCCAGTAGTTAAAACCAGAAAAAAGCGAAAATTCTTTCCAACCAATACCATCCTGCCAGTATCCAAACCGGTGAACCTGCCTTCCGTGGTTCAGCCTGAAGCCTCTACTCAGCCTGAATCCTCTACTCAGCCTGATGCCTGTACTCAGCCTGATGCCTCTACTCAGCCTGATGCCTCTCTTCAGCCTGATGCCTCTCTTCAGCCTGATGCCTCTACTCGGCCTGAAGCCTCTACTCGGCCTGATGCCTCTACTCTCTGAAGCCTGAAGCCTCCTGAAGCCTCTACTCAGCCTGAAGGCCTGAAGCCTCTACTCAGCCGGACGCCGGCATTCAGCCTGATGCCTCTACCCAGCATGATGAACTGATCCAGCCTGATGATCCTATTAGGCCAGGTGACCCGGTGCCCGCTGTCGTGCCAATTGACTCAGAGCCCGCTGTCGTACCTGGGGACTTGGTGCCCACTGCCTTGCCAGATGACGCGGTGCCCGCTGGCGAGCCAGATGACCTGATGCCTGGTGACCCAGTGCCCGCTGTCATACCTGGTGACCCGATGCCTGCTGTCGAGCCAGACGATCCAATGCCTGGTGACCCGGTGCCCACTGCCTTGCCAGATGACGCGGTGCCCACTGGCAAGCCAAATGACCTGATGCCTGGTGACCCAGTGCCCGCTGTCATACCTGGTGACCCGATGCCCGCTGTCGAGCCAGACAATCCGGTACCTGATAACCCTGGTGCCCGCTGTCGTGCCTGTTGACTCGGAGCCCACTGCCTTGCCAGATGACACGGTGCCCGCTGTCGAGCCAAATGACCTGATGCCTGGTGACCCAATGCCCGCTGTCCAGCCAGACGATTCAATGCCTGCCCCAGTGCCCGCGGTCATGCCAGTTGACTCGGAGCCCACTGCCTTGCCAGATGACGCGGTGCTCGCTGTCGAGCCAAATGACTTGATGCCTGGTGACCCGATGCCTGCTGTCCAGTCAGACGTTCCAATGTCTGACCCAGTGCCCGCGGTCATGCCAGTTGACTCGGAGCCCACTGCCTTGCCAGATGACGCGGTGCCCGCTGTCGAGCCAAATGACCTGATGTCTGGTGACCCGATGCCCGCTGTCCAGCCAGACGATCCAATGTCTGACCCAGTGCCAGCGGTCATGCCAGTTGACTCGGAGCCCACTGTCGTGCCTGGTGACTCGGTGCCCGCCGCTCCGCCTGGGGGCCCGAGACCTGTCGCTCCGCCTGAGGGCCCGAGACCTGTCGCTCCACCTGGGGGGTCCGGCGCCCGCCGCTCCGCCTGAGGGCCCGAGCCCTGTCGCTCCGCCTGGGGGTCCGGCGCCCCGCCGCTCCGCCTGGGGGCCCGAGACCTGTCGCTCCGCCTGGGGGTCCGGCGCCCGCCACTCCGCCTGAGGGCCTGAGACCTGTCGCTCCACCTGGGGGTCCGGCGCCCGCCGCTCCGCCTGAGGGCCCGAGACCTGTCGCTCCACCTGGGGGTCCGGCGCCCGCCGCTCCGCCTGAGGGCCCGAGACCTGTCGCTCCGCCTGGGGGTCCGGCGCCCGCCGCTCCGCCTGAGGGCCCGAGACCTGTCGCTCCGCCTGGGGGTCCGGCGCCCGCCGCTCCGCCTGGGGGCCCGAGACCTGTCGCCCGCCTGGGGGTCCGGCGCCCGCCGCTCCGCCTGAGGGCCCGAGACCTGTCGCTCCACCTTGGGGTCCGGCGCCCACCGCTCCGCTTGAGGGCCCGAGACCTATCGCTCCGCCTGGGGGTCCGGCGCTCGCCGCTCCGCCTGGGGGCCCGATGCCTGTCGCCCCGCCTGGGGGCCTGATGCCTGTCGCCCCGCCTGGGGGCCCGATGCCTGTCGCCCCGCCTGGGGGCCTGGGGGCCCCCGCTCCGCCTGGGGGCCCGATGCCTGTCGCCCCGCCTGGGGGCCCGATGCCTGTCGCCCCGCCTGGGGGCCCGACGCCTGTCGCCCCGCCTGGGGGCCCGACGCCTGTCGCCCCGCCTGGGGGCCCGGTGCCTGTCGCCCCGCCTGGGGCCCCGATGCCGTCGCCCCCCTGGGGGCCCCCGCCGCTCCGCCTGGGGGCCCGATGCCTGTCGCCCCTCCTGGGGGCCCGCCGCCCCCGCCTGGGGGCCCGATGCCTGTCGCCCCGCCTGGGGGCCCCATGCCTGTCGCACCGCCTAGGGGCCCCATGCCTGTCGCCCCGCCTGGTGGCTCGGTGCCTGTCGCCCCGCCTGGTGGCTCGGTGCCTGCCGCTCCGCCTGGTGGCTCGGTGCCTGCCGCTCCGCTGGTGGCTCGGTGCCTGCTGCTCCGCCTGGTAATCCGATGTGCCTCTACCCGGAGTCCAGCCCGATGTGCCTCTGCCCCCTGCCCGATGTGCCTCTGCCCGATGTGCCTCTGCCCGATGTGCCTCTGCCCGGAGTCCAGCCCGATGTGCCTCTGCCCGGAGTCCTGCCCGATGTGCCTCTGCCCGGAGTCCATCCCGATGTGCCTCTGCCCGGAGTCCAGCCCGATGTGCCTCTGCCCGATGTGCCTCTGCCCGGAGTCCAGCCCGATGTGCCTCTCCCCGGTGTGCCTCTGCCCGGTGTGCCTCTGCCCGGAGTCCAGCCCGATGTGCCTCTGCCCGGTGTGCCTCTGCCCGGTGTGCCTCTGCCCGGTGTGCCGCTGCCCGGAGTCCTGCCCGGTGTGCCAGTCTTTGATACCCGCCAGTTACCAGACCCGGGCGGTGGAACATTTTGCCCAGCTAGGACTGTTTGGAGCGTCCTGAGGCCGCTCCTTGAGGGGGAGTACTGTCAGGAATGGACTGGCCAGCAATGGTGGGACTCACCTGCCTTTTGATATGCAGTACCAGGGCTGGCCAGCGGGTGCTCCCAGCAATCAGAGACTCAACCTTTCAGCCAGCTAACACCTGGAACTGATTATACTGGTGTATTTAAGGGATGGCCAGACCTGCAGACTCTGCCTTGGTGTTGTGTTTGTCCTGGGCCCTGTATCTGTCCTGCATCCTGTTTCTGTTCCTTTGCTGACCCTGCCTGATCTGAACCGCTGCTGACTTCTCCTGCTCTGATCCCGGCTCGCTCCTGACCATCCCTCTGCCTGACCCTCTGTACCACGCTGCTTGCTACCTGTTCTGATCCCTGGCTTGTGACCCTGACCATCCCTCTGCCTGACCCTCTGTACTACGCTGCTTGCTACCTGCTGAACCTGGCCTGTGACCCCGACCAATCTCCGCTTGCTCCCCCTGTACCTACCTGCCCTATTGATATTGATCCGGCCTGCCTGACGACGCTTGCTTGTATGTACTGTTATCTGTGGGTGGTTGGTTTGGTTTGTTTGCACTGTATTATGTTTTAGTATTGCACTGCGTTTATGTTTGTATTGTTAGTGTTAATTATATTGTTTATCACATATCTGAAGTCTGCGTTTCCCTGCGTCAGTCACACACCTCTGGTCATACCCGGGAGCCCTGACACTAGCTTTGTCAGCAGGCGTCAGACAGGCATTTGGGAAGTGTTTTTTACGCTTCTCAAATGCCTATGAAAATTCTGCACATGGCAGCACACAGTGCTGTTCACACTGAAGCGTTAGCATTGCGTCACAGCAAAACTGGCGCCTCATGTCAAGCCAGGAGGAGTTGAAGCTTCCCATTCAAGTCTATGGTACTGCTCCGCAAATGCCTGGCAGACGTTTGCGGTGTGGTTGCGAGGCATTTTTGTAGCGTTAATACCATTTAACTTCATTACAGGCATTTGTGGTGCAGTTTTAATGCTTGGTAAATGCTTATCACATGCCTCAAAACTGCACATAGGGTGTTTCGGGAGCATTTGAGGAGCATTAAAAACGCTTCCCAAACACCTGTCAAACACTATAGGGGCATTTGGGAAGAGTTAGAAATAGTCAAGTGTGAACGAGCGCTTAAACCTCTCTCCTTATACAACTTGACCCCCTCCCCCACCATCACCTGTTCCATATGCCAATCTATGTATCCCCGCCGCACTCTTTTTATTTAACTATTTATTTACTGATCAAGTTAATGTGTCTCATTTCCTATCACCTCCAGCTCAGATCTCACATTATTATACGATTCCTGATTGTATCTCACCACTAATCTGATTGAATTCACAATTCCTGGTCAGTCCAGTTCCCTGACCTATAATAACCTTTAGAGCCAGTTCACGCTACATGTGTTTCAGTTGCTTTTTTTGCATCCAAAATGCACAGAAAGAAGGTTATATGGTTGTCAATGTCATAGTTCACATCAGCGCTTGCAGTTCCAGTGCGTTGCAGGTGCTGTCAAAAAAGGCGAACAGGCTGCATTGTTTATGCATAGAACTGTACTATAACGCGTTAAAACGCCCTGGAACACACTAAAACGCACATGTCCATAATTAAATTTAAGAAAAAGGGAGGGGAAAAAAATTAACTGGAATGCATAAAAAAAATGCACTGGAACACGTCAAAAACACATCCAAAATGCACTGGAACACGCTAAACATGCATCAAAAAAGTGCATGCAAAAACACATCTGGAACACATCTAGACTGTGTTTCTATATTGTGAACTGACCCTTAGGACTTGTTCACACCATTTGTGGTGCAGAAACGCATGCAAGAGCATGTTTTTTCCAGCACAACAAAGAAATGCAATGCCCTTTGCAGATGTGCGCAGGTACCATGATGAAAACTTAATTGCACCTCCACATGTCTAGTAAACACAGAGGCATTCACAGCCACCAAAACGCATGGCACCACACTACTGTGCAGTTAGGAGCAACACACTTTTAAAATAATATGCCTGCAGTATTTTGCATGTTCCCACATGTTAGGCAGCCCATTGAAATTAATGAGCTGCGGAAAAAAAAAGTAAAAAATTCCCCATTCACACAAGTCCTCTGGCCTGTACAGCATGAATGAGGGGGTTGTTCATGTGGCTGGAGACACCTGTTACACTATGGGGACACAGCAGCTGTATGAACACAGGTTTTAATCTGACAGGTGTGAAGGCGTGGGGAAGTGGCCCTGAATGCTCACGGTCTGTGTTCAGGGCTGCACACCTGCACTCATATGCTTGTCAAATTATGACCTGCAGCATTTCCATAGTGTAACATAGGTTGCCTGCAAACGGCGATAGCCACAAAAACAAACCACTGATCCCCACTCTATAGGCCACAGCACCCATGAGCCCCAAAACCTCAATTACACCCACAGCTTTATTTATGAACTCAGTACAGTTTTATCATTTAGATTTCACAGGAATTTGGTTGGGATTATGCCCATTAACAATGTTTTTAGTGTATTTTTACCATAAATATAATTTGGATATTTTCTCTGGCGGTGGGGGGCTGTCAGGTATGCTGTACGGGGCCCTGTGATATCTAACAGTGGTCCTGGGTGTATGCTTGTGTCTGTGCCACCTGTATAGTTGGGAAGAACCTTGAACCTCTGCTATATACTGCAATGGATCTAGGAATTGGACATGTTTTCAACTGAAAATACAACAATTATTAGTAATGTTTCCCCGGCAAATGAGGATCAGCTCCTTGGTGGAGAACAGCGATCTCGCCATGTCCAGATGTGGTCTGGAATTCCACAAAAGAACAATTCACAAAACTAAAAAAATAGACCTCTAAACCCTCCTAACTACACTCCCATCCACTAACACTCCCCACTACCACTTCCGGGTGTGTGCAAATGTCCTTTCCCAAATGTCATGACATATATCTGGTATGACAGCTGCTCTAGCGCCTCCTCCTACAGCCATCTAGGCGTTTATTTGTGCACCATAGCAATTTTACATGCGGCTCCATTGTGTATATGACATTCCCAAATATATGTTTGCAGTTCTATTGTAGATTTGGCATTGGTGACTGTATGTCTCTCTTTATCACTGTTCAGTATTTATGTCTCGCTCTTCTCTCTCTCACTCTTCTGTATGTCTCTCTTTATCACTCTTCAGTATGTATCTCTTGCTCACTCTTTTCTCAGCTCTTT